TTCATCAGCACAGAGAAAGGAAAATAAATAAGCATTTACTTCAACTCAAATTCATGAAATTCAATCAGAACATGTTTGATTTTTTTTTTTTTTTTCATTCACAATGAAATCTAAGAAAAATGGGAGAAGACAAATCCAGATCGGAAGGAGGGATCCCACCCACGGGATCAAGCTCCATTCATCTCCCTCACCATCCTACCCAAAAATTCCTCTGTTTAGGGAATTACCTAAGCGAGAAATAGACACAGAGAAATAAGCTTCCTTTTCAGCCACCGTCCACCTCCCTTTCTTCTCCATGAAATCTCCCTCTACTGTTCTCCAAAACCCAGACGTAGACTCCCAAAACCAGACCCAGAAATCAACCAAAGAAAAACTTTCCTCTTTTTTCTTAACTTGATTTTACTCTCCATATAGATACCCAAATATTAAAATAAAATAAAATAAAATAAAATAAAACTAAAATAAAATAAAATAAAAAACTTCCTCCAACAAGCATTGATCTCTACAGCAAAAGCAATGGACGAAGAGGATGTCGATTTGTCTGGTATGCGCTGTTCTTCTGCAAGTCAGGCAAGGATAGGCTGTAGCAAGCAGGAGTGCAGAGGGGGAGGATTGGGGGCACAGAGTGTAAGGGGCGCGAAGTATAGGGGGCGCAGCCAGGCTAGGGGTGCAAAGTGTAGGGGGCGCAGCCGGGCTAGGGGCGTAGCAGTACACGGGGTTAGGCTTAGGTGCAGCCAGGCTAGTTCGTAGCAAGCAAAGGGGGAGCAAAAGCAAGGGGGCGTAGGAGTAAAGAGATCTAGGTGGTTATAAGCTCGGGTGCAGTAGCAGGGGTGTAGGCAGCAGGGGGCGCAGGCGGTTGCAGGCTCAGGTGCAGCAGCAGAAGCAAAAGGCGTAGGGGAAGCAAGCAAGGAGATATGGGCGGTTGCAGGCTCGGGAGCAGCAGAAGGGGCGTAGGCAGTAGGGGGCGCAGGCGGCTGTAGGCTCGGTGCAGCAGGTGTGCAGAGGGGGCGTAGGAGTGCAGCCGGGCTACTTCGTAGCAAGCAAAGGGGGAACAGAAGCAAGGGGGTGCAGGATCGGGTTTTTGCAGCTGGGGGGCAGATTTCCCCCTTTTTTTTTTTCCTGCCATTGCCCCTCCTATTTCTTGTCCGTTCCTTTCCTCTTTAAAGAGAAAGGAAACTAGGGTTTTGGTTGGGTTTGGGCTAATTTTTATAGAGTTGGCCATTTGAGATGGGTTTGAGAAATGGGTTAGATTTATAACTTAAAGGATTTCATCCCTCAACTTTTGATTTCTTCAATTGA